GGGTGGCATTCAGGGTGGCTACGGTGAAACCGACAGCGATGCCAAAGCTGAAGGAGCTCCAGCCGGCGCGGTGCCGCAGAGCGTGCCAGCAGCCTGCTGGGAGCATCCCAGCCGCGTGGCTCCAGAGCTCGGCTCCTTCCCCTCGAGCAGCCCGACCAGCCCCGGCTGGGGAGGAGGAAGCTGAGGCTGCGCTCTGACGACACACTTATTTAGACCTTTGGGTCCCCAGTACTGGAGTAAACACGCCAACGGCACGTGATGTGAAACGCTGACCTGGGGTAAACTCCCTCTGCCAGGGAAAACGCGGGGCCAGCCGGCTCCGACGGACAAGCTTAGCGCCAGGGACACGCGAGCTATCAGCGCTGCTCTGCCTTTGTGCTCAGCCGGTCTTGTTTGTCCTTCCACAGCTGATGCCATGAGATAAAAAGACCCAAATACCAAACTGCAAATTCCAGCTAACTCGGAAAAGCTGATGCAAATTCAGAGGGCAGAGAGCTGGCGGCATCGCTGCTTATGGGTGCCCAGAGAACACCACCTCAGCTCCGAAGGATGCTCAACAGCCGATACAGGGCTAGAGAGAACGTATTTAAATATAAATGTAATTTTTCCACAAGCAGCTCCAAAGCAACTCATGGAAATGCGTGGCTGGGAGGAGAGCAAAGTGATTGCCACACAAAGCCCCTTTGGTGATAGAAAGTGATTTCCATAGAGAACATTTCTAAGCAAATCAGGTTTCTGATGTATGCAAAGGGACCGGGGTGCACAACGACCGGCGGGCTGCAAACATTTCCCACAAGTGTAGTCATTCTGCTTCGATCAAATCCTTTATCTTTTCCAGGAACATGAACTCACAAACCCAAATCTTTGCCAGGCTTCTGTTTCGGTTCCTCATTCTCCCAATCAGCACAAAGGCACCTCTTAGGTGGCTGCTGGAAATGGGACTTAGCCCTAACTCACAGAGATGCTCAGAAATTCATCACAGCCGTGTTCCCACCCCTCTCCACTCAACTAAAACCCGTATCCGTACCACACATTTACGTGCTTTCCTGAATCAACAACGTGTTGTTGAATCAGGCTTAGCAGAGTGGAGTATCTCCAGATTTCTATGATACAGACCCGAAAGACGGTTGTTCTGTCCCAAATCTTGCAGGTTTCTGCTTAGAACACGGTACTCATAGGCCAAACAGAAGAATATTGCTCAGGGTGTGATGGCCATCAGTCAGAGTATTCAGCTCACTTGGGAATGTCCTATTGACAAAAATGCTCAAAATCCATGTAGAAAAGAAGGCTGTGAGCAAAGACTCATGGCCCAGCTTATTGTTGGAGGGCTCACAAACTCCTGCTCTCCATCTCCGCAAAACCGGGAAAAGCTTTAATGTTACAAGGTTAAACACTGAGCAACTACCACTTCCTGCAAATGCACCTTTTCAAAGATGGTGGGTTGTTTTTATTCCTTTAACCCATCCAGCAACGATTCCCATAGATAGATTCATAGAATTGCAGAATGGTTTGGGCTGCAAGGGACCTTAAAGATCATCTCATTCCACCCCCCCTGCCATGGGCAGGGACACCTTCCACTACATCAGGCTGCTCAAAGCCCCATCCAACCTGGCCTTGAACACTTCCAGGGATGGGGCAGACACAACCTCTCAGGGCAGCCTGTTCCAGTGCCTCACCACCACCATTGTAAAAAATTTCTTCCTCAGATCTCATGGAAATCTCCCCTCTTTCAGTTTAAAGCCATTGCCCCTTGTCCTGTCACTACACGCCCTTGTCCAAAGCCCCTCTCCAGCTTTCTTGTAGCCCCTTTAGGTACTGGAAGGCTGCTGGAAGGTCTCCCTGGAGCCTTCTCTTCTCCAGGCTGAACAACCCCAACTCTCACCCTGTGTCCATAGCAGAGGTGCTCCAGCCCTCGGATCATCTTGGTGGCCTCCTCTGGACTTGCTCCAACAGCTCCATGTCCTTCTGATGTTGGGGGCCCCAGAGCTGAACGCAGCACTGCAGGGGGAGGGAGGTTCTCACAACAGCACAGTAGAGGGGCAGAATCACCATCCAGTCAGCAGATGGAGGCTCAGGGACAGCAGGGACAGGGATGCTGCCCTAAAGGAGCACTGTGGGTGCGGTGACAAGCCGGCCTCTCTGCCAGTGGTTTGATCCAGCGCTGCAGCCTGCGGGAAAGAAGCTCCTTTTGCAACCTCCTGTCTCCCCAGGGATTTGCACAAGTGCCGGGGCACCTCTCACGTGCTGGGACACTGTGGGGCAAAGCCCACCTTGGGTAACCCCCTCACACTGCCACATTGCCTCAGTCAATGCCCCTCACTCATCTGGCACCCAGAAAAAGGGTCCCTATGTCTAAACAAGGGGGCAGCAGCATGCTCCGGAGCTGGGAACTGCCAAAAAAATCCCACACAGGCTTCCCCCTTCATCCTCCTCCCCTGCAGCAGCTTTCCACCAGGTTTCTGCAGGCAGGCGCCGTGTCCCTGGCCCTGCTGACCCTTCGCAGGAAGCCCGGTGGAAGGTCCCCTCTGCGACGGCAGCTGTGCCGAGAAACTGTCCCTCCGCAGCGTTCGATCTCACTTGGCCGGGTGAAATTCCCCCGTCCAGGTTCACGCCGGCCCTGAAACCTCTTCCCTACCCCAAATCCACCCCAGCCCACTGCCCACCCATGGATATGCTGCTATGGGAGAGCTGGGCAGGAGTGGGTAGGAATGGCCATGGAATGGGCAGGAAGAGGGAGCAAAACTGTCCGGTTTTGAGCTGCTCTTTCAGGCAGAGAGGTGCTGGAGTGTCTGTCGTGGCTTAGCCTGGCTGGCAGCTAAAGGCCACACAGCTGCTTACTCATCCTTCCCTACCCTCAGGGGATTGGGAAGAGAATTAAAGGGGAAAAGGAAAGGAGACCCGTGGATTGAGATAAGAACAGTTTACCCAGTACCTAAAGGGGCTACAAGAAAGATGGAGAGGGGCTTTGGATAAGGGCGTGTAGTGACAGGACAAGGGGCAATGGCTTTGAACTGAAAGAGGGGAGATTTCCGTGAAATCTAAGGAAGAAATTCTTCCCTGTGAGGGTGGTGAGGCACTGGACCAGGTTTCCCAGAGAAGTTGTGGCTGCCCCATCCCTGGAAGTGTCCAAGG